CATTCATTCATTCATTCATTCATTCATTCATTCATTCATTCATTCATTCATTCATAAAATCTTTTATCTATTCATCTATTCATCTATACGGGGACTTTCGTGGCCTAGAGCTTAAGGTGTTTGCCACTAATACTGTAGGTCCCGTGTTCAAATCCGGATAGAAACGAAAATTCTTTTCTAAAAGATTCTCTTTTCACATCATTTCTTGCTCTCTAGCAATGGTCTGTCGTCTGCATTCGTGTCCACTGTCTGCCTTGTCCCCTCACCTCCTTGCCCTTTCCTCTGGGTTCCTGGCTCTTTCTGGAGTCTTTCTTCTTTTCTACTGTTACTCCTTGGCACTTTCTTACTGCTGTCTTTCAGCTACACCCCTGATCTTCGGGTAGAAAAGATTTACACCTTGCCTTCTCGGACAAGGACGAAAAATCTCGAAGGTCTCGTGTGCAAGTTGCGCACATTAAAGATCCCTTGGTGGTCCAAAATAGAACAAAATTCAAAATTTTGTACCAACTGAAAATGTTTAATGTGTCTCGCCCGCTCATGTGACCTTATGCAGTTGCGAGCGCCGTTAAACACTTACCCCCCATTGTTTTTTTATATAAACATTTTAAAAATCATCTATACATCTGTTCATTTATTCTTTTATTCATCTGCTAATCTGTTCCTTTCTTTCCTTATTTCTTTCGTTTTTTCTTTATTTATTTATTTCGTTCTTTCTTTCTATTTTTATTTCTTTATTTATTCACTGATTTTTTAACTTATTTTTTAAAACTTATATTATTCATTTTCAGAGATCGTTAAGAAGCTAAAGAAACCACCGCCCCTGATCCGCCCGTCGGTGACTCCTCAAGCCGCCCCTCCACAGTTCATCCAGATCATGAAACAGTGCTGGTCGGAGATGCCCGAGATGAGGCCCTCAGTGGACGATGTGTATGACCAGTTCAAGAAACTGACCGGTGGAAAGTGAGTACAACAGGGAGAGAGAGAGTGGGGTGAGAGGGATAGAGGGAGAGAGAGAGGGGGGAGGAGAGAATGGGGTGGGGGAGAAGGAGAGAGAGAGGGAGGGAGGAACAGGAGAGAAGAGGGGGGAGGTGAGAGGGAGAGGAAAGAGAGAAGGGGAGGGGAGAGAGA